AAGTCCCTGGAAAAATACTTCATTTTTAACACAGAACAAAGTTAAGCAATATAGACAGTAACTTCCCGAATGGAGAGAGAGAAAAAAAAGAGAGAATATCATTAAACCACGACTGCTCTGAAGAGAAATATAAGTTCCTGAGCCTTTTCTAAATAATCACCAAATGCTTCATTTTTAGTCACTGTTGCTATTCATAATCTTCCATAGACAAATGATTTTCCTCTTAATCTTATTAAACAAAGGCCTTGTATAAAAAGAGTAATATGCAGCACAATTTATTTCATTTTCCATTTCATTTAGATCAAACAAACCACTGAGTCTGTCTTCCTCAGCAGTGCCAAGATATTGTCCAGATCTGACACAGAGAAGTAATATCTTCTGTCTGGTTTAGGTACACAGTGATCTTTGCTTTCTTGGGGTGTATCTGTTGATTAAATATTTGTGCAAAAACAAAAACAAAACAAAAACAAAACCTAGGTTCAACCGAGCGTGGATTCAACTGTGAATTTATAAACTTTTTAAAGGTCAAGCATGTGTGTTGCTCTGAGCTCCTTGACCGTGGTCCTTTTTGCAGCGTATGCACTTGAATAGCTTGTTGTTGCATCTTCCTGCTTGTATACACATAGCAAACATATAAAAAAGAGTGGAAGTAATGACTCCTGTAATGCATTCTGACGAAATCAGGCGATCACAATGTGCAACCAGTATGAAATGTCTTTAGCATATGTGTCTGAGTTTGGGCTTTTCTCTAGAAACTGCTAAGATTTCTGATGGTTTGCAAGGCCATGCACTGGTGGATTTAAGCAGCTTGGTTTAAATAGAATCTTACCAGACTGAGTGTGAGAGATCTTGATCTAAGAAATAGCAGTTCAAAATAATAATAATTGTTTAACTTTTCAAGGAGTTAATTGCTGTTATGGAGCAAATTGTCCAAACTATCTCACCACAGTGATTTTCTAAAACAACACTGGGCCTGTATTTTGTGCTCATTGTTATTGAGGTGATCTGCAATTTTAGATAATTTCCTCTATTTAGACACATGCCAATCAGTTTACACATGCTGGGTAACTTTAACCAATACATGAAGATCCAAAGCATGACGACATAATGTGTTCTCACCAACAGGAGGTGGTCCAAGTCTGTCTTCATACAGAGAGTATCAGCTGCCCCAGACATCCAGGCTGTTCGCTCCTGAGCTGACTAGCTGGAATAAAGCTCCAGTTATTTTACACCTCAATCTTCACATATTCTTCAGCTGAAATCTCGACAGCACAACTGACAAATCCATGCACATGTCTCCTGCTTCACTCTGATCTCCTGACTGACTCCGGTAGACTCAGGTCACACTTCACCAATGTTCGTCTTTGCCTGGTGAATTTGCACCGTCATCTGCTGTTGCGGTGATGTGGCATTTTGATATTTTCAGCATTTATTCATTAACATTAGAAACTGTAAAACGACACGTCTTTTGGGGGGGCTGAGTGCAGATAAGTTTCAGTGAATCGAAGTCTAATATACAAGGCCTTTAATCCAGTATCATCAAAAATCTAACAAAGTTGGTTTATTTATGAGCAGAGGGCTTACTCTGGATTATTTTGTTGTGTAACTGCAGGGAAAGAACAAAGGACTCAGTAACAGATGTGACTGAAGGAACTGGGAGCTGCATTCACAGTAGTTGAGTCTGACTTGCATTTGACTTTTTAATGGTATCAGGTTTGACTATTTGGCTTAAAAATGATTAGACCTAACTCCAACTATTTATGGCACCATACTTTTTTTATTTGCATGGAGATGAATGCCTGTCTGTCTTAGAAAGATACAGAGATGCTCTAAAAAAGATGATATAGCTACTGTCTTTTTTACTAGAGCAGCTTCCGTCTATCTATACATCCCAAAGCTCTAATCAAACATTTTGAGCCACTTCTCTTCTTATAGCACTGCAGAGTATAAAATAGAATCCTATCTACAGCATGTTGCTTAGCGAAACAGCAAAATGTCATACTGCGTTATCCCTAAAGGAATTAAGACCTGATAATTTTCTCTAATTCTTACGCTTATCCATTTTTACAGTCGCTGTGCAATACCGCTTTCCTGATTTTTCCCTTCACAACCCTGAATTATGCCTAATTGCACCTTTACAGTGCATTTTAAAGTTGATTTTAACAAGCCAGCAGAAGCTCCCCAAACCACAAAAACACACTGCGGGAGTGTTTGTACGGGATATTATGAGATGCAGTCTACTTTTATACTCTCAAGAGAAAATATTTCACGTTATAATGAGATACTCTTCTTGTTAGATTTTCTTCATTACAGCGGGGAAACTTTTCTTTCCTCTCCTAACAAAGTTTCCTCATTGTTAAAAGACATAGAAAATCACTTTGATGCTATAGTGTGATAAGTCAGTTCGGTGCTGCCAGACAGTTGAATTATAGCGGGTCAATCATCTTCATAAATGTAACACCCACTAACTCCTCTGGAAATCTCAACGGAAGCATTCAGGTTTTGTATGTAATAAAATGATTAAAAAGGTGTGCAATGGAGGCAACAGGCAAAACAAGGCTGTTAAGAAGAAGTTCATCCACACAACTCTTGCAGCAAACACAGTCAATCTGATCTAGAAATGCTGAAACTAGGTTATAAAATATTAAAAATACGCAAAATAGGGCCGTAAGGTTAGAGAAAAAACGGGTTGTGTATGATGCAGGGGCAGCTGTCAGTGTTAAATGATGTGTGCATCAGTGTACACAAACCCAGTCTCACTCCCAGGCTGGTGCACACTGGTATTACTTCACATAAATCTGTTTGAACAACCACATTGAGTGGACTGGAAGCAAATCCTCCTTATTTAAACCACTGAGTTTATTTATTGTAAAGACTTGACATAGGGTTAACCTCAGGTGGGGGTTTAGGTTAGAGCTGAAAGTCTGCAGGAAAATGAACGTGGAGTCCTCTGAAGTGATGCAAACACAACTGTGTGTGTGTGTGTGTGTGTGTGTGTGCGCGTCCGTCAAGAAGCCTCTGGATGACAGCTGCTGAGATAAAACACCGTGCGCCCTGCTTTAGATCAGTTTGGCTGCCCGCGCCTTCTTATATCCATCGTTCAGTTCAATCTAAAGACACGGCACGGTCAGCAGGGGGTTCTGCGAGTTTACGGACCAACTACCAATTGGTGACATTTTAAACCAAATAACCTTATGCGTCTGTCCGATGCGCGGTTCTACTCCGCCCACACCACCTCCAGGTCTCTCCACCTCCCCCTCCTATCCTGCGCCTCCAACATGTGTCTCCACACTAATGTGCCGCTGTGTGCATTGCCGAGGATGCATAAAGGCAGAGGACAGTACGCGCCCCTGGATGCGAGCTGCTGAAGTCGCAGCCACTCCACTCCATGTTTTGCCCTGCCCTTGTGCGCTCTGCTCGCCGTGCAGCGTGCGTCTCCTTTGCATTTCGATTGACATAAACACAGGGCAACTGTGTGTGCGGGAGAAGTTGTTGGCACACTGAGGCACCAGGTAGCTTCCTCACAAGGATTTCTTCAAGCCGGGAGCGATCGGACTCATTGGGTTCCTTTTTTTTTTTCTTTTTCTTTTTTTTTTTTTTTTAATCTTACGAAGGGTAAGATGAGGTGGATGCACCAGTATCTTAAGTGAGGAGTGATCTTTTTTTTTATGATTGTTGTTTTGTAGATGAACATCTTGACATCGCGCTCACTGGAGAAACCTTTCAAGCAGCCCTTTGGATTTCTTCTTTCATTCTGACGGAGCTCGTATTTCTCTGTGAAACATTATCAAGGATTTCACTGATGTATGCGATGTGGAGACTGCAAGTCGCCTTATGTACTCTGTCGGTGCTGTCCCTGTCATCTGGTGGTGAAAGCAAAGCTCGGAGCTGTAGCGAGGTTAGACAAGCTTATAACGCGAAAGGATTCAGCCTCGTCAATGTACCTCATCAGGAAATATCAGGTAGGCGAAACTGACAAACCATCCCCCCTCACCACGTGTCAGGTCTCGTTTTACCCCCTCAAAATAAACAATTTGGTTATCAACTATGTGGTTATCCCTCAAACCTTTGCGCATTTTATTATTTAATCCTGCTGCCGTCCTGTTTTGTGATCAACCAGGTCTTTGGAAAAGTCTGAGCCTCTCTTTGCACCCTGTCCCATGTCATGAGATAGACTTTGTCAAAGCATTTCCAAACTGTATGCAGCCTGTAAAGCTGCAGTGCATGTCACTGTGCTGTGAGTGGACCTATATGATTTTTTTTTTCTGCTTAAAGGTCACTATAATCCTCTCCATTTTATTGCGTAATGATGAATCACAGCAAACTGCATTTTTCAGTCATTATCTTCCATCAACTAGGCACCTTAAAGCTGAATTTAATATCCAGAATACGGTTGAAGTCATCCAACTCTGCAAAATTATCATATTGAAGAGAGAAATTCCCCCAACATATTCATCCCCATGTAGTATATGTTTAAATTTTACCATTTAAAAGCCAAATTGACCTTGGTAATAGCACACAAACCCGACTCACACAAAAACTAGTTAAAACCCATCTTCATCTTTCAACTCTTGTAGCCTTTTGACCATGAAAGTGAGGCGTTGCTCTCCTCAAAGAGGGGACTTCACCCAGATGTGACAGTAAGAATCATACTAGACTCATATGTGAGACCTGAGTGTGTCATTTACTTGCTTGTCAAAATAGAACTTTTTTGCAGCAGACTGACTTCACAACGGTCGCCTCCAGACGATACGTCTCATAACTGGCTGCATACCTGTTGCTCATATTCAACAGAAGATCATGGAGCTTGTTGTGTTGGATTTGGCTAAATAGTGAATAGTGTTTACCAGTAGGGGGCTGTATGTACTCAACATGAAATGCCCCTTTTTTGCTGTGGATTTCTTCTTCTTTTTTTTTTCTTTTTCGGTTAGATATTCCTCAAGGCTACAGCTTAGGTTTTAATTCATGCTCTTTGGTACAGCAGAGATATGAGGTTTTATTATCTCTTGTGTGGTGGTAATCACATTTATGGTCAAAGCAAGAAAAGAGATTAGTCAGTAAACATAGTCTGCTTCGTGAGAGGGAAGTGGAGAAGCAGAGGAGCCTCAAGTTAATCCTTCCATTGCCTCATGCAGACAAAATAGAGATACTGTATTGGTAATTGGCAGTGTCAGGCAGTAATGATCACAGAGCCGCCTTATTTGGTTTTAACATGGTTCTGGCGTGATGGGAATGTGATAGTTTTGTTGGTGATTGAACATGAGCGGAAGTAGGTGCCAGTGGCTTTGTTTAGTGTGTGTGAGGGATTTCTCGTATTGGAATTGTATCTTATTAAGTTATCTAGTCATAACTAAATGAATATTAATTTTTAAAATTACTTTAAATAGCAAAAATGTAATCATGTATCCTCACTGTTGCCTGAGTTGCAACTTATGTTCAGTTTATCAACAACTCGAAAGGAGATGCCTTCAGCCAACTAATAAAAATACCAGACGATATGTTCAAAATAATTTGTGAAGTTTTTTTCTCGGCCACTTGCATAGGTACTTTTTTAAAATAGTGCTGCTGCTCTGTTCCTATTTTTCTATTATCTGATTTGACTTGAAAGTAGACCGGACTTCTGGTGACACCCACTTTCCCTTTTTTTCCCACCAAGGTTTCAAAGCAATGATTTGTGATTAATCTCAGGTTTGTACAGAAGATCCAATGATGTAAAGCCCTAAATATTTTTTTTTTGGCCTTACATGAGTCTATTATACAAAGTTGTAATGTCACTGTCTAACTTATCTAACCGTGTAGCATGGACATAGTTAGTTTAGCCTTTTTTTTTAAATTTTTTTTTATTGTCTGGCACATATTAGATTTATTTATTCTGTCCAATTTGATTATTTTAGCATCTTCTTGAAACATAGTTTAGTCTCTCGTGCATCTGGTTTTATTTTCTTTGACAGCTCTTAAAGGAGTGGAAATCATTTAGTTTTCCAGTGTTTGAACACAGAGTTTTTGTTGGCCTTCACTTCCTACTGGATGAGCTCCATTTATCACAAGAAGACTTCCAACTGTGTGATTTGGAAACACTTGGACAAGCTTTTATTTGATTATGAAGACTTTTCAGTATTATTTTATCTCACCTAATATTTCTCATCTGCTTGGAATTTCAGCATCTTAAAGTCCAAGACAGAGGTCTGCATTATAGATCAAGATGTTTTTGGGGCCACAATCAAATCCCTTTTCCAATTCATGGACAGCCCATACTCTATGTATAATTGGATTTTGTTGTCTCCAAATAACCTTTGCATAAATACAAAAGAGGTTAGATATGGGCCTCAGGAGATGGGATTGTAGAAAGCACTCAATTATACCTAATTAGCTATGCTAATACAAACGTGTGGTAAGCTGCATGAGCAGCGTTAGCACTCATCCCTCCATCATTTGCTAAGTCATGCTACCGTTGTGCCTCTAGATGCAAAACACACAGTTTTAATACTTCTGCAGAGGTGGATACCTCTGGTTATAAGCTTCCATTTGCATAAGCTAATTATTTTGACAGCTCTCTGCCGGTGACAAGCTGAGCTACGTTATTGAAGAGGTAACACACACACATATGTCTATATCTGTTATAGGATACAACAGGGTGATTACTGAATTCGCACTTTAGTGTTTATCAGATTAGAATGTTTTAAGACAACTGAACTTAATCAAAACTCAGAAATTTTCCTAAAATAAAAGATAGACCATTAAAAAAAAAGAATTGGTTGAGTTTGTGGATTGAATTCTAAATGTACTTTTTCTTCTGAGCACACAGCTACTATCTACAGTGATGTTTCAAGGATCACACCAGGGTGCTAAGTCATTTCTTTGTGGCATCTTTTTTTTATTATTATTTTCTAAACCTGTAAAGTTGTGGAAAATCTTTTTTATGTTTACCATTCAATGTGTGCACAATATGTTTCTTTTTTTTTTTCGCCGTGTGAAGTACAAACATTTGGTGAACAGCCTCCCGCTGCCTTGAAAGACAGTCATACGTGCGGGTGTGGTGTCGCCGTGAAGAGATGTAATACACGCTCAGCACTATAACACTTCTGTCATGCTTACTGCTGTGCTGGCCAAGTTGTCATGTTCCAACTTTTTTTTTTTTTCTGGGACTGAAATAACTTCTCAGCACGAATGGACACATTAGGTAAACGGGCAGAGTTAGCTGACTTGGATAGAGGTCAACCATACTGTCCTCTTCATCGATTGAAGAGTGATGCTTTCTCTTTTTGCTTAAGGACTCTTAAGTGCTTCAGCTGGTTTACAGTACAGAGGAGGTGGGAGGTAGAGGCCAGTAAGAAAAAATCTTACTAGCTTCAGTTTTCATACAGTAAGAGGTCTCCTGGAAAAGTGCCAACATTCTTTGAAAAAGAGCAGGTGGGTAGGATGAAGTGGCTGTGCCGAAATACACAGTTGAATGTGGGGTGAATCTGAAAAGTGTCTAAAACTGGCTGCTGGACGGCTTCATTAAACCCCAGCAGGTTGAACTTGGGATTCCTGCGCTTGTGTCCACATTACGGATGTACCATCTCCCGTCTGGTGTGTTGTACAACAGTCAACTGACAATACACGTCTGCCTGTGAGGATCAACCCTGTGCTCATGTGTCAGATGTTAGTTATAGTGTCATGCACACAATGCTGTGTGATTGTCAGCCCTTTGTTCATAAACACAGCTGCTCCTGAACGCCTCAGTCAGGCCCTGCCATAGAGCTCCTTCTCTGAGGCTTTACTGTTAATATCAACATCTACTTACACACAGCAGTTGGGATTCTCATGGGTGGACTCGGCTCTTTGCTTCAGCTTTCAAACAAAATCGCTCGATGCGCCGCAGTTCCTATTAGCGCAGTGCCTGAGCCTTATATTTCCTTCCTCAAGAATAACAATTACCTTTGGGTATCATCCATAGCAACTTTAAAGAATATTATTTGATTTCTCTTAACAGAACAGTTATTAGCTGTTACACAATACATCTTAATTTTCCCTCCTGTGAATTCCTGATGCTGCAACTCTCTCTTTCTCTGTTTATCGCTGTGATCTGGCTGTTTGCAGGTTGCAGAGGCATGCAGGTCCCCAGTTCCCTTAAACACAACTTGGATATAAGAAGCATTTTCTGTTTGTACTTAAATGAATGTTAGGACCCTTGTGAAGCTTCAGTATACAGCGCAGATACACATCGACACCACTGTATCTCTCAAAAGAAACCATCTTGCAACACTTATTAAATTCTAGGTTGAAGACTGCGCTTTAGGTTTGCATGTTTAATTAGTTGAAACTACAAATGATTCAAGGAGATGATACAATTTCTTCCTAAATAAATCCAATTTATCAGTTTAGTGTTCCCTTTAGATTCCATTGCAAGAATCAGCATTTTATGTTTGAAGCTTTTTGGCAGTGTTACTGTTCCAGCACACCCTGCCTGTCTCATCATCAGGAATTTTAAGTGACACAATATAGCAAAGAAATTGTGATGACACTCCATGGTTAATCTTCTGTTATCACGTTTCTGAATGTTGCCACCAAATTATGTAATCAGCAGTCTGCTTGTTGCGCCGCTCCATTTTTAATTTCCTCAACATGTAGGGCAGGTATGCAAAATGAATTTGGGAAGTAATTTCAGATTTGTTTGCATCCCTAATCACTAAATAATGGAATGACAGAAGACCTTTATTTGAAAATGTGGGAATACCACTGTAAAAGCTTTTGCCCAGCAAATGTTCACATAAAAATTAGGAGGGGCTTTTTTTTTCTCTCCAAAGCCCATTAAGATGCTCATGGCTCTGCCAAATTGGAAATAAGTCTCTTGCCAGCCTGTATACATCTTCAGAGAGAACAGTTAATGAGATGTGAGGGAGATTGGGCTGTGTGTCTATGAGTGTGTGTTTGAAGCAGTTTAGCCTCACTTTCCGCCCCTTCCTTTTGCTTTGCATCT